CACATATTAGGTAATTTTAGGAAATTTCTAAAGAAATATAAAAGTCATGTTCAGTTTAATTTTGGCTCTGAGTACACTTACTACATTTTAATTTTTTGAAAATTGGAAACTGTTTTATGGTATGTAAGATAAAGTTATCCATTCTTTAGCCATTGATAATCCCCTGAACTTTTTTCCCCCAAACAAAAGGCTAGGTTTTCTTATCATACCTATATTTATGCTTCCTGGTCTCTCATCCTATTTGTAAAATTTGGGCTTAATCAGCCTGAAAAAGCTTAAAATTGAAGCATTATCCATATTTTTCAGTAACTTTTCTCCTTGTTTTAAGTGGCACTAACATGAGCAATATATATTAATATATATGAATAGCAATATATTCAGGTCACACATGATTGATTAGATAGTCTATAAACTCAATTAAAAATGAATATGGGCAAAGCTTGTGGAAATTACTGAATTCTATTTATTTTTATTTAAAAAGGAACACAACGTAAAACTCACCTGCTTTAGCAATCAAATCATCTTAATTGTACTTTTTATAATACCAATCAATTATGTGGGCTTTCAAAGTCAAATTCTAAGTGTTTCGTATACATCTTTAGTTGAATTAATGAGAAGAGAATGAATCAATTCAGAAAGCAAAGTCAGTGTCTTATATCCTAAGAAGAAAACTGCTGTGATATGACCTAAATATTTAATATCGAAAGAAAATGTGTGTATATGTGTATATACACACACATACGCACATATATACATATATACACATATATACACACACAACATTTGGACATATTTCTGTGACATTTCTCAAAACTTTTTTACTCTTCATCTAAGTCATAGGTAAATATTTACATATTCAAAGAAAAGAGCAGTTAGATATTTAACTGGCAAACAAAAATCTTAACAAAAGACAGAAAAAATAGTTCTTTTGTGTCTGTGTACTGTTCACTGTGTTCGTCGAGCCGGGCTGTATACTTCAGAGCAATCTTATCACAGCCTTTTGGCAAAATGCGTCTCGACCTAGATTGAACTGAAATTTTTCATCTTAAAGGCTAGAAATGAGGCAAAGGATAAGAAGTTTGCTATTCTTGAAGCATCATATTATAATATGGTTAAAACTAGTAAATGGTCATGTTGAGGTCGTGTCGTTGTAGATTAATAGTTGATCTTGGAAGCAGACTCGGCTTCACTAGCATCTTCAAGGTCACAGTCGGACCATTTGCCTGAAATGGACGGGCCTCCCGACGGTGCTTCTGTGCTCTGCCGTCCTCGCCTCCAGGCAGGAGAAATGTAAGCAACTGGCAGAGGCCAAAATAGCACCTGTGCAGGCAGCCAGCCAGCCCAGGCACATGTAAACATACCAAAGTGCTTCCCTACAAATTAAGCCCCACCTAATTTGACCAGTAAATTCCAATGTCCTTAAGAGTTTTCTCATACTGAAGGTAAGATTTCAAAATGTGTGGCAGGTGGAATTTTGCATGCTCAGATGTACACAGGAAAATGAAACTTTATCTTGTATAGCAAATAGTGATTGACAAAAAACTTGCCAATTCAAGGTAGCAATCCATCTGATCTAAAAGTCTGTCAAATAAACATTCAAACCATTTAAATGCAAATGTATTATTAGGGTATTCTCCCTTAAGCCATCTGCCTTTCTCCCTGCTCTCTGAACCGTTCCCCCCGAGCCGATGCTGCCGGCAGTGGGCAGGATTTCCGAATCCTGTCTTTTTCGTTCTCCCTCTTACTGCTCTTTAAACATCTCAATGAAATCAGCTTTTCAAACTTTCGCGCTGAGCAGCTGAAAAATCTTTCAAGCGATCACATCGTGCCACCTGGTGGAAAGTCAGTCTTTTCTTGGCAGAGGCAAATAAGAGAATTTTTCTTGCCCGTAAATTCCTGGTTCTGTTCCTATGTTTGGCTTAACCACAAAAAGAGTCTGATAAATTTTAGAAAAATAAAGCCAGCCTGGGCCAGCCTCCATGCTGTCTATCAACTCTATCAGTTCAATACTTTTTCCAAAAGAAATCTTTTCATCTGCCCTGTAACCTTTCTAAATTAAAAATT